AATGTCTCAAGGAATCAACAATATGAAAACACAGATTTCCTCATATAATTTCACTGTAACTTTGGCTGACCTTCTGATTTAAGATAACCATATTCTTAGCATGCATTTAGAGAGTTTGATCATAGTTCATAAATACAATTACTAAATCAAAAATTTATTGGAGGCTTTCATGGTTTTGAAAGTGCCTCATAAATGAATCATCAGCTGTGGCACCATTGATTTTTTTAAAATGTCTTGCATAATAGAACAGTAATTCACAGCATTTCCAATTAATTACATGGAGAACAGCATGTGAAGTTTTTACTCCCCACTCATTCAGTTCACTCTCCACAAAACTTCTCTGCTATGGTGCTTGATATAATAGATCAAAAATTGACACTTGTTTGTCTCACCCAGTATCCGATTTGTTTTCCAGGTGTTCTTGGATAAACATTTTGTTATCCCACTAGTAATTTTGCTCATGTGCCCATTTTGTTAATCTACAGGCAAATGCATCAGAGGCCTCAAAAAATACAAAGCATCACTAAACACCCAAAAGCTAATTCCTGGGCAATATAAGTACTTAGCTAGTTCTTAAAACAGGACAATGCTACGGACACGCAAAAGATAAGCAAGAAAGGCTAGAGAGCTTTCTACTGTTTCTTGTAAAACTCACTTACACGCATAGAAGTCAGATGTGGGACAAGACTGAAGACTCCTCACAGCTTAGTTCTTAACACGTTGCAGTAGTAAGCCTTAAAGCAATACAGTCTCCAACTGCCTCCTTCAGAAAAAAAAAATAAAGGGAAAGTTATTCTTAAGTTTCCTGCCTCCGATACTTCTAGGGTTTAACATAATTACTTTAGCAGTAATTGTTATAATTCTAACCAAATTAAATATTTTGTCCCCAGAAAAAAAAAAATAATAATAATAGAAGCCAGACAAAATGACTCAGCCTGTTTCAAACGGGGGTATATCCTCTAGCATTTGATGCTTAATATCTAGTCCTGTTTATTATTCTATATAATAACCTCTCTGAAAGAGGGGCTGTTTCTCAGGAGAGCTTTGGCTAATAAAAATATTTCAGATCAACTTTGGTGGTATTTAGAATAATGAACATAAGACCAGAAAGGATTAAGCTACACAATTAATATAGCAGGCTCAAAGTACGTGGGAATGGAAGAGAATAGAAACATAATCTAAACTACATTGCTTAGAAACTTACAAAGCTGATACAGGAAACATTTTTCCTGTCCACGCATCAAAATTCACCAAAGAAATCATAGCATTAAAGAAAAATTTGAACTATACCACTGGTTATTTTCAAACTTGTGGCCACAAGGACTCTTTAATAATTACACTAGCCCAGTTTCGATTTCTGAAAGCCTACTTAAACCAGACTTTGAGGGGAGTTAAGCTAAATAAAATCCAGTGCTGGTAGACAAAACTTAGCAAATTTAGTTTAAAAAAATGCAATTTAAAAGATTCCAGGGTGGATGGTAATCCTGAGAGTCTACCGCATACTCTTGCCCTGAAGTGAGGACTGGACTCCTGATCATCTCCCAAGGGGTTGCTGACAGAGAAAACTGCTGTTTTCCACTATCATTCTCCCAGAAGGGCCTGAAAGAACATTAAATCCCTGCTAAAGGGTTCCTCTTCCCAGAGCAGCTATTAAGCAGATGCTTTCCACTGATCCAGAAAAGCCTTCTCAATTTAAAAGAGCTTTTTATTAAAAGGCAATACTCTTGAGTTCTAAGATTAATGTGAGGAAACAAAACATCCACGGCTAAACTGGCAGCATTCCTCCCTTTTCAGGTCACAAGTGTAAGAGACCAGGTAAGCCCTAGAGCTGATGTGTCATTTCACCTAATCCTGGCTGCAGCAAGTCCAGAAAGGAATTACAGTAAACAGGGAAGTCTATAAAAGGCTTCAGAAATGATGCCTTGTGTTTATGCAGTTTTCTTTGTGCTATTAATATTCAGGTGCTGTTACTACTGAAACTTGTTACTGCCACAAATGGGTTTGGAGTCCAAAAGGATTCCCTAAACTGGTTTAAAGAAAATAATGAAGTCCAATCCACAGAGATCAAGCAGTAACATAAAAAATCCCAGAAAAAAAAAAAGAAATATTATGGTGCATTATTTAAAACTGGACTTCAAAAGCCTCTTGTAAATGAGTGCTCCAGATAATAATCAAGGCAATTTTTTTTTTAATTATTATTATTATTTTTTTTTACAGAAATGGCTTAAGCAACAAAAAAGAAACAGCACACAATTTGTAGAATGGTTCCCACCAGCTCAAGAGATCGACAGTATAGAAAAGGCTTCTAAATTTGACTTTTCAGTATCAGTGAAACTTCCTGGCTGATGGTAAAAAAAACTGCTTGAAAACAAAGATTTTTACATTAACTTTGAAACTACAGGAACTATGCTATAAACCTGAAGGGGGGGGGTCTACCAAATTCTATTCCTCCTCTCCAGCAGTAGCCTAGGATGAAAGACCTTATCGTAAAGTGCCAGAAATGCTAAACTAGTTATGGAATAGACCTCACATTAGAAAAAATGCTTCCTGAAACCCAATTGGTCAAATATTGCTATGATGGATCACAATCCTACCACACATTGTGATATTTTTTTGCTATGCCTTTATAGGTAATAACATAACTTTGTATTTTCTCATTACAATACTATAATGCAATAAAATACACAGCAGTAATAGCAAGACAGCAAAGTCCTAAGTAGCAGCAAATAAGGATAAACCTAAGTGCAGCAGCCATGGTTACAGAATTAAACAAAAAAAGGTACTTATCTTTACAAGGCCTCAGCCACAAAGGGATCTCCAACAAGATCCACTCACCTTCACTGCCAACCCTTAAGTGAGGTCTGGGAATGGGTGGATCCTGGCTCCAGCCCTTCCCAGCACTCAGGTGCATCACATGCAGCTGAGCTCCCCTGGGTTGGCCCTGCTTTCCCCCCAGGTGTTCAATCACTGGTTCAAACTGTGACTTAGCATTTCTGCTACGCTCATTCTGTGTGAAAACATCTACTTCCCTTCTGGTGAATTCATGGTCTCAAGAATATTCTGCATCAATATGTTCTACAATCTGATTTTATCTGGTATCAACAATCTCCCTTCTTCAGATTTATGGCCTTTAAATACACTGACCTGAATGCACAAACTGCAAAACTGGATATGGAGAAGTTTTTAAATGAACTGTATTTTATCACAAACCCTTTTAGATAATGTTGTCATTTTCTATGTTATACCTGCTCTTTTTAACACAGTCTTATTTTCTATCTGATCACTCTTCACACTAAAGTATTTCATTGTTTCCTATGTTATTCTCACTACTCATCTTTTAAATATTTATATCTAATACGTATTAATTTAAAGACAGAGCAAGACAAAGAGAACAGAGTGACCCAGTCAGTCTGGTGGAAGGAATGTAAATAGGTTGGCTATAACATCCTAATTGCTCTTCTTTATCTATGGTTTTGACTGTGAGTAGAGGTTGAAGATGAGTTTCCAACAGCAACATTCAGCTTTTCCCCTCGAGTAAAAAGCAGCAGTAAAAGCAGGCTGTGTGCACATCTCTCTTAGCTGGCATGGAACTTTTTTCTTAAGAGTGTCTGGAATGATTCTATATTTTTTGTTTTAGGATAAAAACAATGTTGATAACATGGTGATGTTTACGTGATGTTGCTGCTAAACAGTGTTGTACAGAGCCAAGGCCATTCTCAGAGAAGAGAGCTCAAGGAGCTAGGAGGGAATAGGATTAAGACGTGACTTAAACTGGCCCAAGAGATATTCTATAACATATGATGTCATGCAGAAGGAGTTTTGAAGGGATGGGAGTTCATCTCGTGCTTTTGCACTGCATGAAGGGCTAGCTGGGCTTTGGTTGGGACGTGGTGAGCAATTTCTTGTGTATCACTTGTTATATACATTCATATATTTATATGTACATACATACATACATATAGTCATAACAATTATCCTTTTCCTTTCCTCTGTCTTAGTAAATAGTTCTACCTCAACCTGCAGGTTTTAGGGTTTTTTTTCCCCTCTTCTCTCTCCCATTCCATTGGGAAAGGGGGAAGTGTGCAAACGACCGCATGGTACTCAACCATCCGTTGGGTTAAACCACAATGATATCTAAGCATTTTACTTAATTTCTGTTGCTTTGTATTTGTCACTAAAAACACACAACAGTTCCCAGTCCCTCATTTGGAATTTCTGGGTTTACGCCCTGGGTTGGGATTTTTCTATTGCTGATGTGAGAAATTCCAAAAGTTTTCGGATATTTTGGCCCCACCAGCTTCTGGGGAAGGGGCACTCAGCAGGGCCGGGTCCTGTTGTGGAAAGGTATCTGCTTGGAAAAGGGCCATTCCCTGAGAAATTCCCAGATAAGCAGAATGAGCAGAAGGAAGTAGCTCAGGACCTTCTGCTACTTCCCACTTTCCTGTGAACAACGGGCAATGCCTGATGCTCCCCATTCCTTCCTCTCTAGAGCACCAGGGTTGCAAAACAAACACAGGAGCAGAGTGAGCATTACTGACAAGACCCATGTAACTGCACGGGGCCTGCTTTGTCACTGCTGGCCCTGCTCTCCGGGATAAAGTTGTTACACAATACCCTTCCATATCTTTATCGCCAAAGCCTTACTTTTCTCTTTATGTCGCTTTGTCTCTTCAGCCCTTTTCCCTCTGTTGAGTCGCCCAGCCTTGGAGCGCACAACCCACGCCGTCACTCACACCCTCCCTCAATGCCAGGCCGTCACATCTGCCGGGGATCCCTCCTCAGGACCAGGATGCCCCGCTCCTCCGCAGACCCTTCCCTCGAGGTCTCTCCATTCCCGCCTCTCGCAGCCTCGCGTCGAGGCTGGCCGCGCCCGGCTCCGCGGTGCAGCTTTGGGGCCGGAACCCCGGCGGCGTGAGGGCGCGTTCCCAGCCGGGGAGAGCGGAGGAGCAACGCCGGGCCTGGGAGCCGGGAGCGTCAGGCGCCTTGGAAACGGACGGAAGCCCGGAGGAGGCGGCGGCGGCGGCGGCGGCAGCAGGATGCTGAGCCCCGAGCGGCTGCCCGGGCCCGAGTACCTAGGTGAGGAGCGGGGCAGCCCAGGCCCCCGGCTGCCGTCCGGCGTCAGAAGGGCTCGATGGGGCGAGCAGCGTGCCGGCATCAGGGCCGCGTCGTGGCGGAGCGGGTGGGGGGAGCTCGGTGCCCGGCCTCAGCTCGGCCGGGGAGCGGCACCGCCGGGCAGGGTCTCCCTGAGGGGGCTGCTGTCTCAACTGATGGCCTGAGGAGAGCGTCAGAACGGGTGCTGCTCTTCGGCTGCGAGGGGGTCGGAAGGTGGGCTTTTTCTCTGAAATAAAGGTATTGTTTCCCGCTGATCTCTTTACGCCACATAAGATAAAAACCTTTGATCTTACAAAGCAGCCGCTCCCCTGTGGGCTGCATCCCTTTGCTACGCCTTCCAGTGAACTAAAGGGCGAAATGATGAGGTGCTATTGTGTCAAGTGAAAGATAATTATGAAGGAAAGAAATCAATGTGACGTCACTTAATTGCTAAAGAGGAGATGAACTGCAAGCTGTGAGCATTTGGAGTGTGTTCAAATCAGTGTTTTTGAAGTGAGACTCTTCAGCCATTACCTTCTAGGCCCGAGAGGCTGTTTGCTAATAACTGTTATTAAAGTATGCTTAATTTGCTGTGGCTTTGTTGTATAAGGAAAGGTAAAAAATGGTGCATGTTGGTTTGCGATACGTGTTTCAGCATGGTTTTGCTGTCTCTGGTAAGTCAGAGCTAGAGAAACCTGGTGGCTTCTAGTAAATGGAAAGCTACTGTTGCAAGGGAAGGCTGAAGCAGCTGTTTCTCCAGCCCAGCATTAGGATCAATGAGTCAGGATCCAGAATGCCCCACAGCAATAAAAGGGCTGAAAAGTTTAAGCAGAGGGGTGATCTACATCCTCTTGGAGTAGAACCTCTGCACTTTTGCTACTAGACTGCTAGTAGGTGCTTTGTACATGCCTACATAACCACACTGCTGTTCTGTGCTACAGAAACTCGAGGCAGGAAATAGGAGTTTTAGCTCTCTGCACAGGGTGATTCTTGAGAGAATTATGGATTTTAACTTTGGCATTAATTCAGGTATTCGAGAACAATATTTCAGCATGCCATTTAGATACACCCTTCAATTGTGTGTCACTCTGTTATACTACATCAGCATTTTCAGCCTACGCATTAATGGAGACACTCATAACTTTTCCACAGAATTGCTCTAGGCTGAAACTTGCAAAATTTCTTTTTTTCTTTCTGTAACAAGCCAACTTGGTTTTGGGCTCATTTAATTGTTTTTAATGAAATAGGTGCTTAACTCTTACTTGTGTGAAACTTGTCAGTTAGGATTGAAACAGCCAAAACAAGCTAGGAAGCAGACTACCAATTTTTGTAATTCTTATAAGAAATAACCAATTTTCTGTTTTATGCCTAAAGCTTAGGAGAAGCATGACTTTGGAGATGTGTGCAATGTTGTGCAAGCAGCTCTATTAAAATGAAATGTCTCCTTCACTCTCTATTTCCTGATCTATCACTTTTTTTTTTTTTTTTTTTTTTTTTTTTTTTGAGACACCTAAATTATTCTAATGTTTGGATTAAGAAAAGACTCATACAACTATGTGGGTAACCTGATTTAGCTGTGCATGCCCCTGTTCATTGCAAGGGTGTTGGACTAGATGACATTTAAAGATCCCTTCCAACTTTAAGGACTCTGTGATTGATTGTATTCAGATTGAGAAGCAATTGTCTAAGAGCTTGTTTGGTTGATCATGTAGGGAGGGTGTCCTTCTGTTTAAGTTGCAATCTATCCTCTGTTAGAAAGCGTTTGCTACGCTGGGATATTTTCACTGGCTGTAAATGTGATCAGGATTATTATTATTATTATTATTGTCCTCATGAGGCTGCTCACAGATCCTATGGAATGAATTCTGTCTTCATAGTAGGAAATCAATAAGTAGTGTGTTCATAAGATACTTTTTCATTTTCTACATTGCCCTGGCATTCTGAAATTACTGTTATTTGGATTTGTCCTCTTCTGTACCTCTAAGTCTTGTTAATATTGTTGTCTGTTGTAGGGTTGTAAGCAATTGTGATTTTAAAAAAGTTTCACATTCTATAATTTCATTCTGAAGTTGTTGCCCCAGGCTGCCACAGAAGATATTTTTTGAGTCTCCTAGGTTGGATGGCACCCTTTTCTCTCCTGATCTGGAATGAGAAAGCTTCACCTAGCCTCTTCTCTCCCTTTTCCTTTCTCAAGGCCCAAAACAGGCCAAATGAACTGAGTGGCCAAAGTAGCATTTTGTGCTACTTAAGGTATTTATCTTCCCCCCCTCCCCCCCCTCCCGTTTGTAAGGGTCTTTTTTGTGCCCAGTTTGGATGCTAGGAGGACAATACACGCATAAGGGAAGTAGAAGCAGTTGTGAGTTAAAATAAAAATGAAAAAAAATGAATCAGGCATTCACTCAAGATGAAGAATAAATGCAAATTTTTGATACAGAGAAGTTCCTGGGAAATGCAAATCTCATGCCATAGTGACTGTGAGACAATAGGTAGAAGAACAGAGACAACCAGAATTCGGTGAATAGGAAAGGAGATGAAGTCTGCGAAGATGGCAGGAAGGCTGTGGGGAAGAAGCTGCAGCAAGGAAGATATTTAAAACAGTATTTTCACTGAGTAAACAATAGTGTTTGGGGATAGTGATGAAAATGTGTTTTACGTTTGATGAATGAGACTAGAATGACAGTAGGCAAAGTAAAGCTTATTTGGGACACTTTTCCATGCCTTCCTCATTATGGTTTAATAAGTGGTGATTGCTCCATTATTTATAACAGACTCAGAGCATTCAGTTTATTGTTCTACTCATGCAGCTGTCTTCTGAAACTTCAAATTGTAGATTTCCCCATCTTCTCCATTAAAAAGAAAATGCTGAAGATTATCACAAATTTCTGAAGTTTTCCTCTGGGGTCTCCTTCTTTGCACTCCCCAACTCCAGGATGTTGTTTTTTTTTTCTTCCTTTGCCAGCATAAGACATGTAAGAACACAAATACGCCATTAAGGAAGTACCTTATTGGTAAGGCATGGGGCTATCAAGTGCCAGTCCTGTTTTCCTCATCTCTCTTAGGCTTAACGAGTTGAAAGAACTCATTCACTTTTTACAAAGCCAAGAATAGCTTCCAGCAAAGTACTTCAGTTATGCAGCAACCTTGCACAGAACTGGGGTTTACTCTTCTGCTGGACAGAAATACTGAGTTAGAAAGTCCAAGTGCACCCGCAACAAGTTTGTGGGTGACACAAGGGATGGGATGCCATTCAGAGAGCCCCAGACAGGCTGGAGCAGTGGGCCCAAATGAACCTTATGAGGTTCAACAAATCCAAGTGCAAGGTCATGCACCTGGGTCCTGGCAATCTGCACTATTACTACAAGCTCAGAGTGAAAGGATTTGAATACAGTTTTGCTGAAAACGGCTTGAGAGTACTGGTGGATGGCAAGCTGGACATAAGCCAACGACGTGTGCTTACAGCACAGAAAGCCAACAGTATCCTGGGCTGTATCAAAAGAAGCATAGCCAGCAGGTGGAGGAAGGTGATCCTGCTCCTCTGCTCTGCACTGACGAGACCTCACCTGGAATGCAGTGTGAGGCTCTAAGCAGTATGATCTAACTGTAGGTTTCCTGTTCTCTGGTGTTGGAATGGGTAGCTTTTAAACTCAACCTTTCCAGCTATAAAGATTCTATGATCTTATGATTTTCTTTGCCATCACATTCAATGTTTAGGCTACTGGAAAATTGGCTAATTGGAAAGATTAGTGCACTGGAAGGACATTACAGGAACATAACAGCAAAGGGACCAGTATGGATAGAAAGGTGTTTCACAGGAAAAGGAAAGGTGCTCACCTAGCTCTAAAGATCTAGGCTTGTAGAAAAGATTCCACAAGGGAGGGATCTCCAATCAGAGATCCTTCCCTAGTGGTACTCAGCCCTTAAATGAGATCTAAGAGAGGTGCAGCCAGGCTCCAGCCCTTTGTTCACACAGCTGAATTGCCTTCACCTGTGCTTCCAGGGCCTTTCCCCAGGTGCTCAATCAGTGGTTCAGGCTGTAATTCATCTGTTCCCATACAGCTACACTTCTATCTAGGCATCATGAGAAATGTTGAGTCTCTTCATAGTTGAGACATTTGCCAGGCTTCTGTGGAGCACTTCATCTACGAGATGTTGTGGTCTAAAAAGAGAAAGCCTTTTCCTTTTCCCTTTCTTACTCTTTTGTATAAATGGGAAAGCTATGACGTGGAGGATGAATGACTTCCCTGCTGATGCATTAAAGTTTGCTTGTATGGATGATAAGTCTGAATCTTCTTAGATTCAGTATCACACTTTCTCCAAAAGATTGCAGCTTCAAACCAAACCTGCTGTTGTACTACAGGACATCTACCTTAGCTTGATATCACATGGAATCTGATCCCAGGTGAGGTAGATTTTCAGAACTGGAGAGTATAGAGGCCTGTGTGTTTGAGTATGCTTTGATAGGGAGCCTGTCAAAAGCTGTCTAATGTCCTTGTAACAAGCCAGAATGGTCATTAATTCCACAGTGTTAATAACATGCTGAATAAATTCAGACTGATTTATTTTTTAGGGGAAAAAAGCTCAACAATTATGCATCGAAGGGGTGGTGATGCCTCCCATCTGCACTGCATCTTGCAGGAGGTAGTTGCTGGCGGGACTTGAACAATGAAGGCAATCTCTGTGGGGTCTCAGGACGCTTGCGCAGTGAAAGACTATAATGTCATGGTTTGTTATTAATGTCTGATTAATTTTTTGAAAGAAATATTCAGTTACGGCCACAACAAAATTACAGAAGGAACCATTTCTCAATTTTTTTGTTGAAAGTGATTTTGAGTCTGTGAATATACGGACTACGATGTGTTGTGCTGCCATTCAGCATGCATTCATGTTTCGCTCATATCATAGCGTTATCTCTGGTATGGCCAGCTCTACTTCCATTTTGCTACACGTTCTGTCCTTTAATCTTGTTTGTTAGGGTTAAGGAAATTATACTGCCAAGCTGTGCAAAGCTGTGAAGAACTATAGCTGTACAGTGATATAGCTCTTAGGTTGGTTGGTTTTATTTACATACTTCTCTTGCTAAGTCCATTCCTTGGGGATACCTGAAGACGTGAAAAAGAGCATCCTGAAGATCATCAGTGCTGAAAAGTCTCTTGGAGCTGATGCTGGTCTGGTTTTGCAGTTTATACGCGTTATTATTGCTCACATAATATTAGCTATAAATGTTTTTATGTTACTGTAGTTGTCTCTTTCTAATGTGCTTTAATACAGTGGGGCTCTTAATTAAGCCCTGATTGAGAATAAATTCTGGAAGTTATTTAGGAGCGTACAAACTAGCAGAGATTTAAAAGCACCAAAAATATTTCATGTACATTAAATCTTGTAATGCTCTTGGAATTCTGATAACTAAAATGAATTATAATGGTAATTGCATCAAACTGTGTATTTTGAGCACTTCACATACAAGCAAACTTTAATGTTGTGTAGCTGAGGAGGAGGAGGATAATTAATAAAAATCAGTCTCATTATCCAGGAATTCCCACTCCTGATTTTTCAAAACATTCCGTTATGCCAGGAATGAAGCAGCCAACAAAAAACACTCATGCACACAGTAGATATTGCTCTGGTAGAGAGCTTGTGATCCATTAGAAGGCATCTCTCATGGCAAGTTGAGCAATAATGTAGCTACCTGATTTGATGATTTGATAAATAAGACTCAACCTCTGCTCCAGGCTGTGGTTCTGCTGCTGCTTTAAACAGAGCATACCTGTTGACCTGTGCCGATGTGTATTTTACCATCCTGTATAAGTTTATTCCAGTCTTTTTTCTGCTGGTGTATTGATCTTTAGGGTGAGGGGTTTTTTTTTGTTGTTTTGTTTTTGTTGGATAGTTTTATTGGCCACTTAAAAAAGGCACATTTCTTGGAAAGAGAAGCTTCTTATTAACATAACCTTAAGGACGTGTACCGAAGTTGCAAAGCCAGGTAACTAATATGCAAAAGCAGAGTGGTTAACTCCATCACATTGCCATTGTGTGTTGGAAGGGACATTGTGCAACTCAAGGGCATGGCACTACAGCACATGTAAGGTCTTAATCCTCACTGCCTCTGAGCGCTGCTGGTAATAAAAAACTTACAAATATGCAATATTGTTACTTAAAGGTGGCATGTACTTTCCTTCCTCCTCCTGAATTTCTGACTTAGAGAATGTCAGTGCATACATTCTGTTTCACGCAGTAGTATTTTCCTTTTCCTTCAAGACTTTCCTCAAATATCAGTGCTTGTTCTTAGAATATTTTTGGTCGAATCTACAAATTACCAGAACTGTTTGTTCTTGTAAGAAGAAACAAGTCATTCATTGGCTTATAAAAGCACTGTTTTTACTATTTTAAATACAAATGTAAAAATAATTTGATACAGTTACAATTAAAAGGAATCACTTGGGGTTGTGTAAACTATTGTAATGGAGAATGTAGGGATTGTGAACAGAGTGTGGATGTATTTCTTTGTCTGCCTTTTACTTGTAAGCCGGAGGAAACTTGGATGACCCGATCAGGCCTTGCTTGAATTGAACAGCCAGCATTCAACCTTGAATTTGGTTTTGAGCCAAAGGGCAGTAATTCCAAAATGCACTTTGAACCTTGAGCGAGTGAGTGACGGTGGGATGTTGGTGTGTGACAGAGTGGCAATGCCATCAGTGCCATTCTCTCAAGTGCTGTGGCAGCTGACTTTGAGAGTGCTATGTTGTATGTATTGCAATCACTTGTGCAGACTCTAGGTGTAATGTCACCGCTAGAGGTTTCATGATAAGAGTTAAGCTACTCTGTGAAAAGAAACTTACTTAGCATCATGTCATTGGCTGCCAGAAGATTGTTCTCTCTACTTCATGCTGTTCTTTCTGTGAGAGGTGCCTGGCAGGTTTTAGGTCTGACAACAAGAAGGGGTACCTACTGAATATGTGTGGCAGGCACGCTTGGTTGCATTTTGGGGTAGTAGCATTGGATTTTGAGTTTAGTAAAGGAGTTGCATGGTCCATTTGCTTGGAGGATTTTGTGTGAGCAGGGAGGAGAGCCATAGGTGGAATAAGCCAGAAGCAGTAAATGATGAGGATAATGTGTGTGGAAGCTGCAGTAAACTGGAATTCTATCTGAAGGACAATGAATAGAGAGGTCGGGTTGTAATTGTAGCATTTTGTGAGCATCTGAGCTTTCCATTCTGATTTGGACTTGTTGCTTTATTGCCAAATTGGCCTAAAAAATAGGAGCCGCATCTGTACCAATACAACATTAACTCCCTGAATTTTCAAAGAGTTTGAAACAGAATGAAAACCTATGAATAATCATGTTTATTTTGCATTGGACCCTGTGAATTTTTAACTTTGCACTTACATAAATAGGTAACGTTGCCATATGGTTCCAATGTTTGTTATGGAAAGTACCCTTTATATAAATTATGCCACTAATGTTTTGCTATAACTAGACCCTTGGCATTTCATTTTGTCTCTCTGGCCTGCTAGAACCTGCCCATAAATTAATTTTTTCTATGGCTTTTCTGTGTAGGATAGAGTTGGTTGGGCTACAAAACATACTGCTTGAACCACTCTGTGCAACTCGGCAGCCAGAAAACAGGAAGCCAGAGCAGGGTTTTGATTTGGCAGTGTGAACTATGCTACCTGGGAAACAGCACAGCAGTTGAAGAGTCAAGGAGAGAGGATTCTTAAGTAGATTGCAAGTGTTATTTTGTTTTTAGCTTCCCTGCTCATCGTCTTCTTCCCTCCCCCACTTCCCTATGTGCCTTTTGGGAAATAAGGAGAGACAATCTTTGCCAGGATCCTGAGACCATGCAACAAAAAGTTTAACGAATATCCATTTTTCAGTGACAGTATTCATCAGTGACCCATAGATATTTGTGTACAATTTTAAGGTCGTCAGAAATGTCTGAAATTCTGTGTTGAATGTTAATTTATTCTCCACGAGCAGACTCAAAGGTATTTGTTAGAGAGGTCAGTCTTACTGCGATATGTAGCACTGTGGGGACCATGCCTGTTTACTCCTTTAGGCTTTTAGGGGAGAGGTTAACGACTCTAAAGAAGTGGAATAACAAAAATATGTGTTTCACTGATAGAGGCTCTTCCACAACAGGGAGTGTATACATCCCCACAAAGTTTAGAAAATGGTTTTGCAGCTGAGTAGGAACATATTGTGGACTAAGAGAAGTGGAAGCCTCTTTGCTACTGTGGTTTCCTGTCTTAATCTGGTACTGCTGACAGCTCTAGAGGGGCCTGGGAAGATGTTTCTGGGTGCAAGATGGGCTACATAATGAAGAGGGAAGAAGGATGGGCTGAAATAAAGTTACCCAGCTGCTGTTATCTTAAGACCGTGACTGAGCTGCACAACTCGTTCCTCCCTCGGGGGACACAGGTGCGCAGAACTATTTTTCTTTAATCACTCACATAAATTAAATTTATTCCTTTGCATTAAAATAATTAAATAAAGCTACGCCCTGTATCTTTTAGTGCCAGATAATATCTTTGAACCTTTGGCTCACCATTTTGCTATCAGCTGCAAGGTGTTTTCCAGGGTGTGCTTAACCAATTTTACCATTGTCCTAAAAAGTGTTCTAGTCAGAGAAATCCCCTGATAGCAATCAATGTTCATATATACTTTTAATCACTGTATCCACTGGGAATAATCATTTCCGGGCCTCTCTTGAAGCCCACCTGCCCCACACTAAGATGAAAGGGACTTCCATGTTGTGTATCAAGTGGCACAGGCTTGATGCCTACCAGGATATTAAGCACAAATTAAAATGGTTTGAAGAATATTGATGTGGGTCTGTGGTTGGCCAGTTGCTAGTTGAGGGGAGTGATGCTGCCAAGTCTGGAACAGATTGGCAAGGAGCAAGAACAGCCTTCGCCTTTCCTATATCCCCTAAGGGTTTTCTCCTGCTCTTTTTAGGACACGACACTACTTGCAAAGGTGCAGTACCATACGTGTTTAGGATGGAGGTGTGTGCTTTGGGAACAGGGCTTGTGTGCTTTCCAGGTTAGGAACAATTTTCCTGGGTTCGTTGTGACTTGTTTTCTGATTGTTGAACTTGTAGGTTTGGAAAGTCTACTGCTTGCTAGCTGGTGCATCACGCCAGACTCAGCTCTTTGTTCCTCCGAGTTGATTTCCAGCCAAGAACATCAAAGGCGCTCAGTGGCAAATCTGTACTGTTTCCTTCCTGGCAAATGCTTGATTTCTGCAGTCTGCCCCCTGCATAAGCAGCAAAATGGTTTGTCTTGTAGTCTTACTCAGAAGACTTCCTAGTGTGGCTGGGTACTTGCAGATCTGCCTCTTCTGAAACCTCCTCAGGTTTGGTCTAGGCAGTTACTTGGGACTGACTGTTGAGCAGTAGAAATCTCTCCTGGCAATGAGATTTGTTCCCTACCTGCCACTCCAAGGCCAGTCATTGATGCTTGTGTGGCAAGGGATGTACTTTTATGTGCACCTTTAGGAAAAAAACTTTACAGAACAAGCTTAAAGCTACTTGGCTTTGGTAAGCAGGGAGGGGCAGGGAGCACCTACATCTCTACAACAGCCTCACTGATCTATTGGTGATTTATATATGAAAGATGGCTGTGACTCAGAAGAGATGAAGAATTCCTCTTGGATAAGCATTTTCCAGTATAGCAGTCTCACAGCTCTGTCTCTTCTTCCTTCACTTGCAGAATCTCAAAGGATTTGAAAAAGGGTCCATGCTGTTAATGACTAACTGTGTAGCCAGGAGAGACGGCAGGATTTAGGTCAGGAGTTCTGCTATCTGAATCTGGGGGAATAAAACCTCTGCTCTCTAAATGAGGGAGCAAATGCTCATTGGCTTGTTTTATAAGGCCCCAACAAGGCTGGTCTGGGTCTGGGCTTTGCAGGCCCCTTGTATTCTAATTTCTGTCTCTTACTGTCTTTTATTTGCAGCTCAAAGGCATGTCCTCACGTACATGGAGGATGCAGTGAGCCAGCTGCTGGAGAACAGAGAAGATATTAGTCAGTATGGCATTGCCAGGTTCTTCACTGAATAGTAAGTACATCAGGACACTGCCAATAGGGCCAGCCTGAGAGAGGCTTTTGGAAACAGGCAGGGTACATGGAGAATGGAGCTGGACACATGCTGATTATGTTGTGAATGCTAGATTTCACTGGGTTAGCCAAGGGCTGCCTGAGTACGTCTCAGAAACGTGCATGGGTTTTCGTTCAGTTTGGTACCTCTCCTGTTACATTCATGTCAAGCAGCCACTTTGGGAAATGAAGCCTTTAAAAGCATATAGAAAAGCAAACCCTGCTTGGCTTAATCAGAGCTAGTAGCCACTTTCAAAAGCAGGGATTGTTTCTGGTTTCAGCAGTGCTTGTTCTTTCTTTTTCTGTTTGGATTCAAACTGTTTTGTCTCCTTGTGCAATTGTTATCGTGCTGAATGCTCTCATAGAATATCTCTCGCTCTCCCGCAACCTGCCTAAGTCCTTAAAAATGAAAATAATTATTAGCACAGATAATCTTTTCCTACTAATTTGGGAAGTTGTTGGTTTTGTTTCTGTTTTTGGTGGGGGGAGTTGAAACTGTGTACTGATCTCCAGTGTTGTTGATGTTGACTTGACTGCATATTTTGCCAACTTGATGTCTTACACAGTGTTTAAAAGTCTTCCGGCCACTTCATTAAAAAATCTGTTGGTAATGGGTGTGCTTGCAGTTGGTTTGCTTCAGTCTGTCTTCTTATGCCCATTTGAAAATCTGCTTGTTTGCTTCTTTTGCTTCTTTTCCTGTTAATTTTTTTCTTGAGGCTAATGACTGTGCAGAGCATTTCACAGAAATCTCTGTACTACAGCTGTGGAAGAGGATTTCAGTGCACAGGAGCAGCTTTCTAGGCTGACCAGGGCCTTGTTGGTTTATTTTGTTTGTTTTTTACTGAAGTATGATGAGATCTAACTTCCTACTTGAGCTGTCTGGACAACTTAGGTTACAATTTCCAGCACCATGCATATTTTAAACTTAGAGATATCTGAGATTCTCTCTGGTAAATTAGTAACTAAAATAAATTATGCAGCAAATCTGAGTGGAAATTCCTAAAGCTGTTTTTTTTTTTTAAATAAATTTTTATACTGAGACAGAGTAACAAGCTGCTCGAGGCCAGTGTGGTTTTGACCATGCTTGGCAGAGGAAGTAAGATATGGGCCATCTTGCTACATCTGCTTATATAACAGATCTTTGAGGTAGATGGCATTGTAATGAGGAAATATGGTTTTTAGTATTACCTTAGCTATTTTGCTCTCAACAAATCAGTAAGAAAAGATTATCTGTGCTAATAATTATTTTCATTTTTAAGGACTTATGCAGGTAGCAGGGGAGCAAGAAATTAAAGCACTCAGCATGATAATTCAGCTTTGTATTTTCCCAATTACAAAATGCAACACTTTTCTGTGTAAGTGTAGAATTAAGAAGAATCAAACAGCTAACTGAGGTTGTCTTGTTCTACTGTTAATCTTACTCTGCAGCTATAACTGGAGTAAAAATTGACTTTAAAAGACCTTCAAAATCTATTTTAGAATAGATAAAATATTTGGTACTACATGAGTTTTACAGGGATATTTATGTGTATGTATATGTGTACCTATATGTATATATGTATGTATGCACATATATATATGGTAAGTATATAAAGATTTTGTCTTTAAAGTAGCCTGAACTCAAACTGCATTCCCTTTCTGTAGGGATATACCAAGATATAAAGATTAAAAAAGAAAAATCAATGCATAGTATCCGGAATGCAAGTCTTATTGCACAAATAAATAAACAGTGCACTTGCACGATGTGAGCAAGTTGCAGTGCTAGTAGTCATTGTTAAGTGATGGTTGTAGAGAATTAATCTCTGGCAGTAGTTATTGGGGACAAATAAAGATACAATCTTGTGTACTTGATATGACTGGGAATCATGATGCTCCATCTGATGCAAGTGACTTTCCACAGAAATAATACTGAGATTAATCAGCTGAACAAATAGTAAACAAGTTCCTAATGATAAAGAGCATGACTGTAGTGACCTCCACCCACATCAAAGTTTGTTTACCAGGATTGAAAGCAAGGTTATATAATACCCAGTTGGAATTGTTGTTCAGCCATCTATCCAAACTGGATTTGGTTTACATCTGCTTTCAAGTTGACACCTCGGGATGTTTTCTAAACCTTTGTGCATATATACTTCAAACGTTAAATAGTGGTCAAATAAGTCTTCCATGCTTACTTGAAACTGCCCACACTGCTTCTCTGCAGTATTTCTTCCTTCATCATGTCCTGATAACCATTTTCACTTCCTATTCTTGTTCTGCTTCTGAAAGAATTAGTAATTCAAGATCATTTTAACAAACAGAATTGTGAGCATAGAGCACAACCGTGTGATGGACTTATGTTTTTCCCAGTTACTTTCAAATATGTGAATTTCTAAAACAGCTCCATTCACACTGAAAATTCCACGGAGCATCTTATTTCCTGAAAGATGGGAATAAACTACATTTGTTTGTTTGTTTCACAAGTAATAAAAAACTGCTCACTCATTTTTTCCTTTTGTGATATGGGTGGAACTTAGCAGATGGCATTGTGTCCAAGACCCAAAGCACAAACAGCCTTAGTAATTCTGAGAGCTGTGAAACTCCTAGCATGTGAAGTGTATGAAGCTTTATTTGAAATGAAGAATAAATGATCACAAATATAGACTTAGATCTAACGGGAATTTTCCCAGAGCTTAGTTTTAAGCTCTTACTGCCCAGTGAAATTGTACTTGTCTGCCTGACTGTGTGTGTTCAGGCTGTGCTTTGAGAACTTCACCAGCTTGTACTGCTCTGTCAAACAAACTCGACTTGTATTTTAATCTTAATACCTTAATACTCAAAGATAACTTGTGAGATTCCTAAGGTTTGTGTGCACTGTTCCAATGTTTTGCTTGTCCCATGTTATTCTATGAAAGAGGGTCGGCATGCCCATATTTAGAAGCATGCTATTGGGATTTAAGATAAAGGGACTTGTTGGGGGTGTCTGATTTTTCATATTGTTCATTCCTTGCTCGTGTTTACTTACAATTAGAGACTAAGCCCAGAATTCAGCAAGCTAGCATGTAGACCCACAGAAGTAACTTTTTTTAAAATATGGGATAAAGTAACACAAGTTTTGTAGCTTTGCCAAGATAATGAGTCACAGAATCACAGAATGGCCAGGGTTGGAAGGGGCCTCAGGGATCATGAATCTCCAACCCCCCTGCCACATGCAGGGCCACCAACCTCCATGTTTAATGCTAAACCAGGCTGCCCAACCTGGCCTTGAACACCTCCAAGGACGGGGCATCCACAACCTCTCTGAATGCCTGTTCCAGCATCTCACCACTCTCTGGGTAAAGAATTTCCCCCTGATGTCCGAGAAGAAGTTTGTGTGTCAAGTATGGGTTCTATGTATTAACTCATTTTAGATGGTACACTGTACAATAGCAGTGTCCATGCACCCTTCTGACTGGATTCATCACAGAAGGATGCTCGTGGCTACCTATCATGTCTCTATCATGGACTGCAGTGCCCTGCCTTACCGGGAGTCACTTGAAAACATTATACAGTTATAACAGCCATTTTGTAGGTGATCATTAAGAAAAGATTCGTTTTGTTGGGATTTAGCTTATCTGAGTGAAATTTCGGAGTTGAAAAACTATGTGATCATGCATCTCTCTATGTATGGATCAAGCTGGAAGTGTTTTGCAGGCAATAAGTTGTTCCTTGTTCAGGAAATGAAGCCAGTTATGTATTCCACTGCTATCCACAGCCGAGCACTAAGATTGCTGATTGCAGAGGCCTGACCCTTGTCTTTACAGCTCTCCTTCCAGAATATTTTTAGCCTTCAAGGATACTTTTTTTCTCCCACTTTATTTGGTTGTTCATTTGTCCCAGTCATGTGGACATCTGCTTTCAATCTTGGGAGTTCTTTGAGGCTTCTCTCATCTGACTCACTCCTGACTCTTACAAGAATGGGCTCAGTCACCCTTCTGCCAATTAATCTGCATCTTTTACCTAAAAGAGTAAAATTGTGCCTCTCTCAGGGCTGGTTTGGATTTTATAGATTTGCTGAAATGCTACTGGTGTTTGTTCATTACAAACCCAAGAAATCTCTGCTTTGCTTTTGAATCTCCATGAAATGCAGACTCTTGAAAGCCCTTTGTGTAATTACAGACTAATGCTGCTTTACTTCTTCCAACCTAAATTCTGCGCCAGCATATCTTAAAGGGACACGTTCCTCCTATACATTATTTATCATCCTGTTTTCTTGATTGTTCCTGTACTGAAGAAAAAGAGGGCCCCTGTGCTAATGCATTTGATCACTCAGTGGGAATGTGCGTTGTGTCCTACTTTAAAATTTCTGGGATCTTAAAGGGAAGCTGTGTTTATTTCACTTTAGCTGGAAGAAACAGCAAAAAACTGTCCTTGACCAAAAGACTTTCCATTAGTAATTTTTGTATTTTTTCTTCTATGGTAGTAGTTTGCTTGAAACTTTCTCTCCCAGTTTGCAGGTAGATACCCTACGCTGTCCAATGCTCTTCTAAAAGGTTTTGGTGTGGTGTTTTTTTGTTGTTGTTTTTTGTTTTTAATGTACCTCTCCCAGAACACTTCTTGTTTTTCTTTGTTTATGGCGAAATGTTTTCCTGTCCATGTGCCAATTGCAGGATGATTGAGAAAGACATCTTACTGTTTGCTTGCAGATGCATCGCTACCTCCGTTGAGCTTTGTGCATACTGATTGATGTCCAAGATCCTCTTTTTCTGTAAGGGGTTTTTCATCTGAGTCTGACTTGAAGTATCCCTGCTGGATCGTGTTCACATTTGTGTGCTTTCTGATGACAGTTTTGATAAGTTATCTACAGTGTGCTTGTTCATTGGGAATGGTGGTTAGATGCTGCATTTAGGTCCTTTAGAATAGATTTTTAGTTTAAAATGCAGGTCTGCACTGTGTAGAGCACTATTTTACACAGGGGAACACTTTATTTAGTGCAGAGTAACG